TTCCCTTCTCTTTCCTCCTACACAGAGGGTCCCAACTCTTCTTAGGTCTGGGCTCTGGGCTACCCAGCATCACATCTGTCTAGAACTCTGTGTTTCCTCCAGATTGTTCATTTAATTCAAAAACTCCCTCAAGACTGAGCTGGAAGAGTTGTGTTTTCTGAAAGGTTAGACTGTGGAGGTGACTGCATTTCACAAAACAACACCTTTGTTCTTGCCGCTGGGTTGAATAGAAACCAGAAGTTCAAGTCTTAATCCCCCACCTGGTGTCCAGCCAGCCCAGGGCTCAGCAATGAGAGATGATTTCCCTGCAAAGGAAATGGCTTGGGGTGCTTTTGTGTCCCCATTGCTGTGTGTCTGAAGCGCACCTGTGCTGGGCGGTGTCAGTCTGCCTGTCAACATTCGTGTTCTCACTCATTTTCAGTTCACCCAGAAATAAAAGTCAAAATCAGAAGAACGATGCTTTAGTGTTCATATTTTCCAAAGAGACATCCATGTGTGTGAAACAATGTTTTTTAAGTTTTATCTATTTATTTGAAGACAGAATTACAGAGAGGAAGAGGCAGAGAGGGGTCTTCCATCCGCTGGTTCGCTCGCAGAGAGGGGTCTTCCATCCGCTGGTTCGCTCCTCAGACGGCTGCAAATGGCCAGAGCTGCTCTGATCCCAAACCAGGAGCCAGGAGCTTCTTCCAGGTCTCCCACGTGGGTGCAGGGGCCAAAGCATTTTGGCCATTTTCTACTGCTTTCCCAGGTCATAGCAGAAAGCTGGATTGGAAGTGGAGCAACTGGGACTCGAACTGGTGCCCATATGGGATGCCAGCACTGTAGGCAGCTGCTTTACCCACTATACCACAGCGCCAGCCCTGGGAAACATTTTAACTGCCTGATTCTCTAATCTGCCAGAGAGAATGCATTTGCTTACATACTCTCACTTACTCTATCAACAAATCCTTACTGAGCACCTTATATTTCGGCACGGGGACCATCTAATAAATGTGCATACTTGGAGCCGGCGCCGTGGCTCAATAGGCTAATCCTCCACCTTGCGGCGCCGGCACACCGGGTTCTAGTCCCGGTTGGGGCGCCGGATTCTGTCCCGGTTGCCCCTCTTCCAGGCCAGCTCTCTGCTATGGCCAGGGAGTGCAGTGGAGGATGGCCCAGATGCTTGGGCCCTGCACCCCATGGGAGACCAGGAAAAGCACCTGGCTCCTGGCTCCTGCCAGGATCAGCGCGGTGCGCCGGCTGCAGCGGCGGCCATTGGAGGGTGAACCAACGGCAAAGGAAGACCTTTCTCTCTCTGTCTCTCTCTCTCACTGTCCACTCTGCCTGTCAAAAAAAAAAAAAAAAATGTGCATACTTGGGACAGTTTGGAGTTCTGTTTTAATAGAGAAATACACATTTCATTGTCTGTAATTCACGTATAATTGTCTATAATTCACATTTTCATTGTCTATAATTAGCTGCTATAAACTACAACACCACAACCTCTTACTCCTATGTAGCTGTCACTTAGTACCTGGAAATCAGCCTTTCCCCTCGCCTCCCTCCCCTCCACTCTCCCTTAGCTCTGGTAGCTACCATTATACTTTACACTTCTATGATAGAATTTTTAGATTCCACATGAATGACACTCGTCTTGGCCTATTTCCCTTCACATATTGGCCTCCAGTTCCATCCATACAAGATGTCATCCTTCGATGGCTGAACAGTATCCTGCTGTGCAGTTATGAACCACATTTTACTCATCCTGCATCAGTTGGTGGACACTTCACACTGTTGCCACTTTTTGGCTGTTGAGAACAGTGCTACAGTCAGCATGGGCGTCCAGAGGCTTCTTCCACAGAGTGATTGCCTTTGCCTTGGATAGAGTAGAACTGCTAAATCATATGGTCGCTCTATTTTTAATTTTTTTTTTCAGGAACTGCCATACTGTTTTCCACAATAACTCACTCACATTTCTCCCAGAGTTCCTTTTGCTCCAGGTCCCCGTTAGTATGCGTTACTTTTATGTTGTTGGTTATTGTTGATCTGACTCAAATGAGGCACTGTCTCATTGTGGTTTTGATTTCCATTATCCTAATGATCAATGATGTTGAGAACTTTTTTCATGTACCTGTTGTCTGTCCTATGGAAGCCTTGAGCAATGGCTGTTTAGGTCTACTGTCTACTTGTAATTGGATTATTAGGGTTTTGTTTTGTTTTTTTTTGCTTTTTTTTCTGGTGCTTTGTTTTTTTTGGTTGGTTGTTTTTGCTACTGAATTGTTTCAGTTCCTTATACATTCTGGTCACTAATCCCTTGACAGCTGTATAACTTGTCAGTGTATTTTCGCATCTTCTAACTTGTCTCTTCATTCAGTTGATTGTTTCATTTGCTGTGCAGAGGCTTTTATTTAGATGAACTACCACTGGGCTATTTTTTTCTTTGTTCCCTGTGTTGTGTGGAGTCTGATCCAAAAATTCCTTGCCTGCTTCAGTGTCTTTTTTTTTAAGATCTATTTTATTTATTTGGAAGTCAAAGTTACAGAGAGAAGGGGGGAGGGTTAGAGAGAAAGAGATCTTCTGTACATTGGTTCACTCCAGGGCTGGAGCACGCAATGCTGAAGCCTGCACCTCCACCCATGTCACCCATGTGGGTAGAAGGAGCCCAAGCACTTGGGCCATCTTCCGTTGCTTGCCCAGGCACATTAGCAGGTAGCTGGATCAGAAATGGACATGCCTGTGTATGAGCTAGCACCCTGTGGGATGCCAGCTTTGAAGTTTGCAGCTTAATCCACTGTGCCACAACACCGGGTCCATCTTTTTCTTTTTCTTCATTTCAATGTCTTGAATCATTTCTTCTATGTTTTCCACTTATAGTTTCAAAGTTTCAGGTCTTGCATTTAGATCATTAATCTATTGTGAGGTGATCTTTATAAGGGTGAGACGCGAAATGACAAAGAGACATCTGATTTTCCCAGCACCGTTTGCTGTAAAGATGGTCTTTTTTTCCAATGCATATTCTTAACATCTTTGTCAAAGATTAGTCAGCTGTGGATATGGGGCTTTTCTTCTAGGGTCTCTGTCCTGTTCCATTGGTCTATAGATCTGTTTCTTTGATGATACCATACTGTTTTTATTACTGTAACTGTGACATATTTTAAAGTCAAGTAGTGTAAGATCTTCCGTTCTTGTTTTTCAAGATTGTTTTGCTTATTCGGGGTCTCTTGCAGTTCCATAAAAATTTTAGTAGTGTTTTTCCTAGTTCTATAAAAAAAATCATAGGGATTCTGATAGGGATTGCATTGAATCTGTAATTTGCTTTTTGATAGTTTGGACATTTTAATAATATTGATATTGGTGTTAATTCTTCTTTAAATATTTGATAGAATTCAGAAGTGAAGCCCTGTGGTCCTGGACTTTGGTTTTATGGGAGATTTATTTCTGATTTAGTCTTGCTGTATGTTATTGGTCTGCATGATTTGGTCTTGGTAAAGTGTATGTGTGTAAGAATTTGTGCAGTTCTTCTGGGTTATCAAATTTTTACCTCATGGTTGTTTACAAATCAACCTCCTACAGTGTTCTGTATTTCTGTGATGTCAGCTGCAAGGTGTTTTCATTTCTTATTTTATTTGAATCTTTCATTTTTACTTCAGCCAAGAATTTTTCCATTTTGTTTATCTTTCCAAAGAATCAGCTCTTTCATTGATTTTTTTTGTATTTTTAGATGATTTCATTTATTTCTGATCTGACTTTTATCATTTGCTTCTACTTTGGGGTTTCATTTGTTCTTGTTTTCTCAGTTTCTTAAGGTACAAAGACTGGTTATTTGAGATCTTTGTTATTTTTTGAAATAGGCATTGATTGCTATAAAATTTCTTCTTAGTTTTACTTTTGTTGTATCCCATAGGTTTGCACTTAAGGTTTGCACTTTAATTTCTTTATTAATTTCTTCCTTGATCCATGGGCTGGTAAGGAGAAAGTTGCTTGATTTACACAGGGTAGTTTTGAATGTGCAAGAGGGCTCTGCCATACTGCAACACACCAAGCACACACCAGGCTTTTCCCCTGTCAAGCAGGATTTCACTGGCATCCTACACCAATGGCTTGAGTGATAAAAAGGTTTTCCAGGGCTATTGCTGTAGCATAGCAGTTAAAGCCACACCACCTGCGATGGCAGCATCGCATATGGGCACTGTCGACCCGAAGGTCCCAGCTGCTCTGTTTTCACTCCAGTTCCCTGCTGGTGGTCTGGGAGAAGCAGCAGCAGATGACTCAAGTGTTTGGGCCTCTGCCACCCACGTGGGAGATGCAGATGAAACTCCTGGCTTCGGCCTGGCCCAACACTGGCGGCTGGGGCCACCTGGGGAGTGAACTAGAAAATGAAGGACCTCCATCCATCCCTCCCTCCCTCCCTCCCTCCCTCCTTCCATCACTTTCTTCCCCTCCCCCTTCCTTTTCCCCTCCCCCTCCCCCTCTCTTTAAGATAAATGAATAAATTTTTTTAGTTTTTCCAAAATGCCTTCAAAGATTGAGGACAAAGCTCAGATGTGCTCTAGAGCTCCAAAGCCATGAGATTAAAAGTCATGAAAGGTAAATTAAGAAAACAATTGAACTCCAGCTTTCTAAAATGTTAACTTCATTTTTGAAGTAGACTTCGGTACACACACCCACACACATACACACACACCCAAACACCTAAAACAGTGGCTCTTCAGGGTAATGACCCAAGTGGAATCAAATTTCCCTTGGGAGGAGATCACCTAGAGAGGTCTAGGGGAAAGTCTGAATCTATATAGATGACATTCCCATCACAGTTAAGTAGTGGTGGTATCTTCTGAGATAGGAGTAAAGGTAAAAGGAGAAGAATGGAAGAGAACAACAATACACGATTTATCAGTCTCCTCCTTCCTGCAACTGAGCGTTTTCAATGTGGTTATGATTCTGTGTGTGACAGTAAAGGAAATAAACATGCATGTTCTTTACCTCCTTTGGTTCTGAAGTGATTTCTTTTTCTTGCATCCCAGGTGCCTGTGCTGAGACCCATGGACTTGATGGTGGAGGCCACCCCACGAAGAGTATTTGCCAACGCACACACGTATCACATCAACTCCATATCAGTCAACAGTGACTATGAAACCTACATGTCTGCTGATGACCTAAGGATTAACCTATGGAACTTTGAAATAACCAATCAAAGTTTTAGTATCCTTTCCTTGTGGCCAATAGTTGGTTGCCTAGAGTTGACAGTATTCAGATATGAATGGGCTTGAGGCATCAGATGGAATAGAAAGGAACAGTGACAACTGTGTCACCCAGTATCTATGGAGAACTTGCCCCTTTTATAATATATGGGCACTTCTGAGACTGTTTCATCCTAAAATACAGTTGGCGTATGCTGAATTACCAGCAGTGGGCCACAACTAGGTGTGGTTTGCAACTCCGAGCCAGTTGCTTCCTGCAGGGACATGTATGGATCATGAATTAAAATTAGATGTGATTTTATCAACAATAAGATAGGACCCTAGAGTTCATTTAGGATTCCTTCCTCTGTCAAAATGTTCATAGATGATCTTTGTGGGCTGTACTGTTCATAGCTGTACATGAGATAGTTCTGTTGTATCATAATGGTGAAAATAATAACGGCTGCCATTCATTCAGTCCCAAGCACTTATATTGTGAAGTTTAAGTGTAGTAGTTCATTTTTACTTCTTTGTTGAAGGATACTATGTATATGGAAAAGTACACATATGATAACTGTAGAGCTTGATGAAGTTTCACAGATCAGTCATACCTGTGACTAGCATCTAACTAGCAGTCCTCAAGCTCCCGTCCTGCCTCCTCAACAGTTTCTACCCCCAAGGGCAGATGTGATAGAATAACCCTATAATGTAAGTTTTGGTATCAACTGCTTAAAATGTAAAGAATTCACAAAAATTGCTGTCAGAGAATTTGGGCAAGAACTCTCACCCCACTGTCTTGACCCAAAAGTTAATAATTATAAAAGTTGAATAATTTCTTTGAATACCTATCATGTTTCCCATTTCATCAGAAACCAGGTTCACTGCTGTAATTCCCAGTAGCAGATCATGGTGTCACCAGTCAGGCAGCTGGGCAACTGGCCTGGGAGTCAGTATTGATATTTCTCCCCCACCACTCACCAGCCTGCCCTGCTCCCAAGCCAATCTGTCCATGAGCCCTGGCAAAGCCTCTTGAAAATGTATCTCAAATCTACTCATGTATCTCCTTCTCTACCCTCAGCAGCCTACACTGTGTAAGCCACTGTTGTCTGTCGCCTGTGACTGTAACCTATCCAATCTCCTTTCTTGCTCTCCAATACGATATATGCCCAAATCCAATATCGACCTTTCAACCTTAATCCAGGTATCATTCTTGCCCTGGTGAAAACACTCCAACAGCTTACCATCAAACTGAGAATGAAATCTTAGTTATGAAGCCTGGCCTATAAGATTGCACACGCTGTGGGCCCTGCCTCCCTCTTTAATATCATAGCATATCTCTCTTTGCTAATTCACTCCACTTCAGTTAACTACATACTTTTCTGTTCATAGATAAACCTTGTTCCCTATTTTCACTATTGCCTCTTTCTGGATTGCTCTGCCCCCAGTGTTCACAAGGCCGGTGACATGTGACCCTTCCAACCTCTATACACCGTTACCTTCACAGAGGTACTTTCTCTCGCTTACTCCCATGTCCCACCAATAATACTCTGTCCCTGTTATCTTCATAGTACTTAACCACTGTTGGAAATGAAATTCTTTTTAATTGTGTATTTTGGGTATCCCCATATTAGGGTGTAAATTCTATAGGAGTGAGGACTTTTTGTGATGAATTTCTGTATCCTTGTGTGAAGCACAGTAAGGTCCAGGGATGGACGCTGAGCTAAGATGCTGGGTTGGGAGGCCTGCCATCCCCTGTGCAAATGCCTAGGCTGGAGTCCCAGCTCTGCTCCTGAGTCCACGTTCCTGAAAGTGAAACCTTGGGAAGCAGAAGGTGATGGCTCAAGTAGCTGGGTCTCTGCTACCCATGTCGGAGACCTAGATTGGGTTCCAAGCTTCAGCCTGGCCAGCCCAGGCTGTTGTGGGCATCTGGGGAGTAAACTAACAGATGAGAGACCTCTCTCTCCCTCTCCCTCCTACTCTCCCATTCGCTCTCTCTCTCTCCCTCTCTCTCTTCCCCCTTTACATTTCCTCCCTTCTTGCCTCCCACTCTCCTTCTCCCCTCCCCTCTCCCTGCCTCTCAAATAAGTAAATAAATTTTTTCAAGACACTGCCATCTAAGAAGTTGGTTGGACATAGCAAATTTAAGATAGTAGTAGGTCATCAAAGTAGAGTTCGCCAATAGACAGTTGATCAGGAAATGTAACCTGAAATTTAAGAGTTATAGTAAAACTCTGAATGTTCTGATATAAAATAGACCCCATAGTGGCTCAGGAATATAAAAGGCTATTTCTCCCATAAAGTCCAAGATTCGTGATTCCCACGAGCAGCCAGCCTCATCCAGTCAGTGAATCAGAGACACAGCTTCATCCATCTTGCTGCTGCTGGCCAAGTCACCGTGCTTATCTACAGCAGGACAGCAGAAGTGGCTATAGAGGACCACAGCAGGAGGTTCCTATGAGTCAGACCCTAAAATACCACGTGTTACATTGGCTTCAACTCACCCACACGGCCACCTCTAATTGTGAGGCAGGTTGGAAAATGAGGTCTAGCTGTGGGCCCAAGAACAAAAATCCTGCTTTTCGTACACAGCTAGTTGGCCTTCACCACAGAGAGTGCTCAGAGGTCCCCCAAAGGCTCTCCAGGGAGGACAGGCTTTGCCCAGGAGTGGCAACTGTAAGGTCTGCTTGGAGACTCTGAGAACTGACCATCAGGACCATGTGTGGCAGCTTTTGCTGGTGACAGAACAGATGGAACATATTATCCGGACCTGGGAGACTCTGCCTACAGAGTTCGCCTGGCAGTGCAGCTGCTAATAGAATGAGTGTGGGTGGTGGTTCCCTTTCTCTCTTTGTGTCTGCTCCAAGAGCCAGAAATCTGCTCAGGCTCAGCTGGCTGTCACTGTGAGCTGCTGCTTTCCCCAGTGTAGGTGACATGTTTTCTGAATTTTGCCTCCAGGCCTTCAAGGGGGAGGGATCTTTGGGTAGGCATTTTGGGAGACAGATGCCTTGGGGAGCATGTAGAGGGGAAATATTAATAGCACAGTTGAGGTTCTATTCTGCAGATGTGTGACAGCCTGCCAGATGCCGGTGTACAAATGAGACCATGCTATTCACCCTTAAAGCGGCCATATGTAAAGTAATCATTGCCATCATGAGAGTGATGATAACTAATATCTACAGGGTGCCTTTCAAGCAGACCGCCCCAAGCACTGAGCAGCCTCTACAAACTGAGACCCTTTTGCTGCTCATCACTGAAGTGTAGCCACCTCTAGGGTAGGAGCTGGCCATTTCCAGAACAGCTCCAGAAACATGCAAGCAACAAGGCATCTCTTAAGTAAGATGTTGTTTAGCACCCATGTCTGTAAAGTCTCATAACTACATTTCCCAAAGCATGGTATGGGTACCACCAGGGTGGCGCAAGATGCTTTAGGCGATACGTGGGGGAGGGGGGTATGGCTATATAAGTATAATAATGAGTATCAGAAAACACAGCTGTCATGACATCCTGTGATTTCATGGATACTGAAAAACACATTTAAATTACAAAGTAAGTGTGTGAAAGTATAATTAATAGTAAGACAAGTGTTGGTCAAGTTATAGTTAGAAAAAGTGTTGAGTTGCAGGAACTGGCACTTACTGTAACACTGGCATTATAGTTGAGAACTCGGGCTTTGGGGTCCAGCAGGCATAGAGTTGTCAGCAGGCTCTACCACTTTATGGCTCTGTCTGCTTTAACATGTTCCTTCATGTGTCTAAGCTTCTCTTGCATCATCTGTAGAAAAGAGCTCTATCAAAGAGGATTGTTAGGATTACACACATACACACATGTGCACGGCCATACCTGGCCATTTAAATGATGAATAAACAAGAACTAATACCATCATGATTATTACTGAGAGGACAAAGAAACAGAAAAGTTGAATGTTAGAATGGTAGATCCTGTTCTGCACAGTTCTTTATCTGGGTCATCTTCTCAGTTCTGGATTCCTCCTTCAGCTCTACAGCTGGGCACTCTTTATGATGTTGCTTGTTATACCCTAGTTAGGAGGTATTTTGCAGGATCTCTGATGCCCAGAGCCTTGTGTTTAACAATAGGTCAAAGTGATGAATTCCTAAACATTGTGGGATCTGGCCATGAATTCTCTCCCTTCCATCCATAGCCAGTATGACCCTGTCTTGTGGAACAAGTTCTAGTTTTAAAGTGATCCAAGTTTAGTCTTAATGAGTTAACTATATCAGGACCATGATGCCCATTCCCAGATTAGTAATTTTCTAAGGGAACAGGCAGCTCTAACTTTTCAATAAATGAAAACTGCTACAAAAAGGTGTTGTGAAATGATGGTATACTTAGGATCCTTTGAATTATTCTCTGAGAACTAAGAATGAATTGTCCTGGGTTTTTACATAATTCAGCATAGGCCCTATGAAATAGACCCATAACAAATAAAAGTAAAGACACAGCCCTCAGCAACTAAATCTACTAAAGTACCTAGTTTGTGCCAGGCAGTACAGTAATCCTGGGGATACAAAACTATTAAGAAAGAAATTTTCTGCTTTTAGGATATTCATCATGAGCTTAGAATGAGCCTATAATTACAAAATGAGATAAGATTTATTATTAAAAAAAGTTCTTGAATGTATTTTTAAGTTCTTGAATGTTCTTAAAAATATCATTAATATCATTAATAAACTAAGGAATAAAAGGTGGCTTTGCTGAGGAACTAATTGTTGAGATCTGAGGGAGATATGAGCTAACATGGCAGAGAGACAGAGACTTGCCCAGCATGTTCAAAGGTCTTGTGGCAGGAGGGACCATGACATACTGAAGGAACTCTAAGCAGGCCCATGTCAGTGGAGCCCAGAGAGTGAAGTGTGGCGTGGTATGAACAAGGCTGGAAGGGTTAAGAGAGACTACACCTTGCAGATGTCTGGTTCCTGGGTGTGAGACACAAGTTTCTCTGGGATACTTCCTCTTGTACCTTGGTCTTAGCAGCCTTGTGTGGTAACTTCATTTAACAACTGA